AAATACATTGATGGAAGATTCTTAAAATCAATACCATAAATCACTTCAATAAATATTCTATCATAGGCTAACATCTCTCGTATGATATTCTCATATCAATATTCTGTCAAGGAGTAATTTAAGGGTTTGTATAATTATATTTTCTAACACCTGCCCCTCAAGTTGGTACACGGAGATTTTAACTCAAGTGTTCAACTTGAAACTAAATATGAAGTTGTGAGAGTCTGAGACGAGTTGATTTGAAGATCCAAGACAAGACGAGTTGATCCGAAGATCCGAGACGAGTAGAGTATAGAGTAGGGTATGATAAACCTGTTCTTATACCATGTTGAAAAGCAAAAAAAAAAAAAAAATTGAAGAGAGAAATTAAACATGAAGAACACGAGGATAGACACACAAAGCCCAAAGGGCTACATCACTTTTATTATATTCTCTATTAATCTTTGTATACAAAGATCACCTCTATTTATTGGTGAAAGAATACAAGTGATAAATGTGGAAAATATATTGATGGAAAATTCCTAATATCAATACCATAAATCACTCCAATCAATATTCTATCATAGGCTAAAATCTCTCCTATGATATTCTCATATCAAATATTATATCAAGGAGTAATTTAAGGGTTCCTATAATAATATTTTCCAACACACTTGATAAATGAACATGAGCTTGAGCCAATAGTTGTTAAAGGCTTAAGGCGCACTAAGGTGGCAAAGATCTTTTGAGGCTTATGCGCAAGGCACATGCCCGATCAAAGTAAGGCCCAAGCATGATAATAATTCATGTTAAGTATAAGTATATTAAAAGTAATTAAATTATACAACAAAATCTAGTAAATGTTAAAATAAAGGAATTTTTTCAACATAATAATTCAATAGATTAGCTAAATCATATATATATATATATATATATATATATATATATATATTTTCAATTTGCGTATGAATTCAATTAAATCAATGTACAATCATAGCAAACTAAGTCTATTTTATTTATTTATTTATTTTAATTTTTACAAGTTAGATTGCATTGAAGAGCACCCAAAAGGGGGACGTGGCCCAGAACAACTGCACAATAACAATAGACTCAAGCTAACCACAAAACCCAAAAGAATATCCATAGATTTACAATTAGAGCCCTGAACCCAAAAGAATAGAGAACTAAGTACATAAAATATAACCACCCCCAAGGAGACTCCACCGCGTCAAAAGATCTCCTATTCCTGTCCTTCCACAGTGCCCACCACAAGCAAAGAGGGGTTGGCTGCATCTCTGACTTTCGGTCCCACATGGCAACCACCCCAAGCATCAATCAAGCTCACCGCAGACTTAGGCATGACCCACTAGATCCCAAACATGGAACAAAGTAAATCCTAGCCGTCCCTAGCTCTAGGACAATGAAGAAGAAGATGATTCACTGTCTCTTCGGCCTGCATGCACAGACAACACCAATTGACTATAATCTACCGCTTCCTTCTCAAATTATGAATGGTAAATATCCTGCCCAAAGCTGCTGTCTAACCAAAAAAGGCAACCTTCAGGGGGACTTGCGAGCGCTAAATTCCTTTCCACGGAAAGGACATCCCCTAAGTATCCATCAACCGGCAATAGAACGAGCTGACCTCAAATCTCACGTGGCTCGAACCCGCCCAAAGCAACACATCCGTCCCTTGACCAGAAATAGACCATCTAGAGCTTACATTTCCTGTTCATCTCTAGTTGCATGTTGACCGGCTGTTAATAATTTGAATTCCATGCATCCAAGCTACTATCTGTTTCTCTTTATATTTTCAATCAAGGAAACTTCCAAAAACGATTTTGGTCATTCCAAAAACGATTTGAGTGCATTAAACATGTAATTTTGAAAAGCCCTAATTGAATGAATATGAACCCCAATTGGTGAGTGCAAAATTGAGAGTTGCAATTACCTTTTAGCCCTTGGTAGTTGCTTTAACTTCCGATTCAGCCCCTGTACTAGGGTAACACAACTAAATTAGATACTTAAAAAGCTAATCAAAAGTTAAAAATAAAACACACAGATTCCAAGTTTTGAACAAAATTTGCCAATATAAGTCGTATTGATCTAACATCAATTATTTAATTAATACCGAAAATGTTTTATAAATATTCTAAAAGCTTTTTAAAAATGGGGACACCTTATATATTGACACTTGACCCTTCATGTTGGCGGGTCATTGCTACCTTTATTGGCCTCAGAGGGGTTGAGCCTTCTTAAGAACTATGTCTTTCTTGTCAAACACGACCTGTGAGTAATATCTTACTTAATTGCCTCGCCCAATTCATTCTTAGTATAGCCTTTGTAGTTTTAAGTGTTTGCTTCCTCATTGGTTTTGCCGATTGGACTAAATTCCTCCCAGTTGTCAACGTTTGACAGATTGAGACAATCTGCTCTACTACGCAATAGACTTCCCAAACTTGCTTACCTTGTATGTTTTCCTTAATTTCTGCTGCCCACGATCTGAACTTCTAAGTTTAATGCTTGCTTACTTTTCTAAAATACAACTTTTGGGGATTAGCTGGTCATCGCTCTTTTTATTTTTATAATTTGATATCACGGATCTGAAGTGATACAAGCAAAGTTAAGAACAAACAGGACAAAAATCATGGAAAATAAGAACAAGAGGAATATTAAGAACGTATTCTTACCTTGGTTATAGTAATATGCTGACTTCTCTCCATGATTTTGTATTCTGTTTTTCCCTGGAGTCATTGTCCTTAAAGTTCATCCCCGATGATCATATTCTTCTATTGTTTCCAATTCCATGATTTGAGTTCTTTTGTGACTTGTGAGGCATGCTACATGCTCGATCACTATTTCTAGTTGTCTTACCCTAATCTTTTCATAATTTTTTTACTATCCTTCCCCCAAAACAACCTTGGACCCAAGCTAATTTTTCCATTCCACTTCTTTTCATGCCATTTGTTTGGAATTTGGTGTCATTTAAAATTTCCTTGTAGTACTTTTTATTATGCCAAAGTTTTGCAATGTTTGGGGCTTATTTATAATATGAACTTGCATGCATGAGCGCGTCAGCCAGATATAGAGTGATGCATTTAAATCTAATTTATTGTTCTTTTAGATTCGTTTAGAAGCTCCCTATGTGATTGCTACATCAAATGCGCGAGAGAGTTTGGGGGAGAAAATGTGGTTATAGATGTTAACAGTCAGTCATTTGCCTCTTTGATACCATTTTAAAACCACTTACGACTTACCCTAAAAGCTTAGCTGGTAGAGTGGGTGTAATTTAAGAATTCATATTATCAATAATAGAAAGAGAGCCCTTATATGGAAGGTATTTTTCTAACAAATTCTTTGTATTACTATTTTTTTGTTATTAGCCTTATAACAACTTTCTAGTAGTTGGGAAAAAGAAAAATATATAGAATATGGAGTGCCTTCTTGAGGCATGCAACCACCCTAGTTCTCTCATTAAATGGTGAATATAGAGATAATATGTCTATATATGTTCTAATATACCATAAATGATTGAAAACATGCATTTATAACACGAATGTAAAGCATTATCCCAGATTCTTCAGGTTCGCTCCCCTTTGAGCGACTTTTATGAAGTTTACTTATCAAAAAAAAAATTATCCCAGATTCTTGGTCTATGCCACTTTTGGCTTGAACCTGTACCTAGTCCAACAGAGAAGCATAGTGTCAGGCAAAGGCCTGATTGAACACAATCTTAGGCTGCCTGCCTTTTGTTAGGATTTTGCAGCAATGGAGGCCTCCCCCTAGTTTTTGGATTGTGATGCGTCAAGCAAACAGCGAAGACTACCAAGAAATGGCAACTAGAATTTGATTTGGGCAGTATACAGACCATGTAACATGTTTCAGCCAGGACCCATGAGACAAAATTCAGGGATTGTGTAACGAGGTCTGTAATGATTTAGGATGGCATTTTCAAAAAGCCATTTGGATCTGACAATCATGTAACCTAATTTGCCCCGTTCCGATTGGACAGATTTCAGGTATTGCATAATAGGGTCTAGATTGGTTCAAGATAGCTTCTCCAACCCAATTTGTGTTTCGGTCCATGCCACTGCTGCCACTACTTTCCGGTGCTAATGAAGTTGTTGCTCCTAGGTCTGTGCACCTTTCACCTTCATTAATCATGTAGTGGATAGGACATTAGAGAGGCATAAATAAAGATAGAGAATAGTAAATGTGTCATAGAACTATCTTGGTACGCAAGTACATGATGGAGTGCATAGAATTTGCTGAAGATAATACCGAGGAGCCAAGGTATTTCTCTTGGAGCAAGCTTAATGAACATAATCACTTTTTATATTGAGCTATATTTGGCCCTCTTTGTCTAATTTCAAGATAAAAGATAAGTGGCAATACGAAGCAAGTGTTCATCAAAATTTGAACTGAAAAAAGTACAACAGAAACACTGATAATTTGACTCTTTTTCTGAAAATGAATTTCCATGAGATCAATTGATGCTTCCAGTATTCTTACTTTTAGAGCATATAAAACTTTTGTTAAACGTTCTCTATCAGTTTAAGCTTTTCATTAATGGTAATTAACGTGGTATGGGAGTCAAATGTCTTATATTTAAACCATCATAAAGAAGCCACATGAGGGGAAGTGTTGAAATATATTGTTATACCCTTCTCCAATAGTTTAAGCTTTTAGACGTTAAGTAGACGGTGATTAGCATGCTATTAGAGCAGTCTAAGTCTTGGGGCTGAATTGAACCTCACTGTCATGATGAAAAGTCTGGCCACACGTGAGGGGGCATATTAGAGGATCTAAATTGCTAACTTACACCCTCACTAAAAGATACCGCTTTTGGGGGCAATTGATAGTCTAACAGAAACTTAAATGGGACTTCTATTATATGGATATAATTCCTTCTTGTAGCTTTTATTTTCATTGTGATGGTTCATGTTTTATAGTAGATAGTTGTTCTTTTGTGCTTTGTCACATAGCTATGTGTTGATATCTGTGCATGTTCTTTTTCACAGCTTATATCTATGTCTGAGAAAAAATGGTGGCAATGAATCTGGTTGTACTATGCCTGCCTTTAAACGGTAAGTGTGTTGAACTTGAGGGGAAAGCAAACGTAACAGTTCTTCAGCAACGTAGCTTTGAAGATGGTGTATTGTCCAAGAATCCCGGCGAACAGGCAACTGCTTTATCAAGAGAATGTTGTAGATCCTCCAGATATTAACTTACAGGCATCACATCCAATAAATTATCACCTTTATTGTATTTCTCTAGTATCTCTCTCTCTCTCTCTCATATTACCATATGTTTATAGCGACACTTCACTGTTCTCTAGTGAAGGTGTTCATCTTGAGGTAGCTTTATTAAAGTGGCAAGTTTATTTTGAATCCATTCCTGTCACTATATTGATAACATGTGGTAGATAAAATCTATAAAGATGGGATAGGTAATTACTCTTTCGGTGTGAGACAGTTCTGTGAACATGTCACCTGCAGGGAGCTACAAACTGGAATGGCCACTCACAGAAAATCAAGCCTACGGTACTCTTATAGTTTTTCCCTTAATCACCTTTTCATGGACACTTTGAAGCTTCAGTTTGGTGTTTTAGTTATCTAGAGTAGTAGCTAGCTTCTCTGCAGACGATAGAACCGATCTCTTCTCTTCTCATGGAATATGTTATGATTTTCAACTCTTATCCTGTCGTGTTAGTGTCTTACCAGCCAGGGACGGAGCCAGAAAAAAATTTCGGGCGGGGTACGTGTATATAAGTCAATATTTATGAGTGTATATATATATATAAAAAGAGATAATGATATTTTTAGAATGAAATTAATTTATAAATATAGAATATAAGGATTAAGGAAACAATTTAGGATAAAAAAATGTGAATTCTACATATAGAATTATGAGAAAATTGAGGGGGGCACTTTCTATATTTTCATTAAAAAAACATATATATTATTATAAAATATATATAGAATATAAGAGAGGGAGAAAATCCAGGGGGCACGTGCCCCTCCTGGTCTTTAATTGGCTCCGTCCGTGAATGAGTTGGTTGCGAACTCGGGAAAAAGGAGAGATTTGTGTTAGATAGCTTGACAGCCAGCTTAGAACAAATTTTTTAGGCCACGACTATTTGAACTCGAGAGTCAGCAATTACTTAGTTTATTTGCTGGCTCTGTTGTACCGAAGTTTTATTGAATTTATCTCTTATTTTTTTTAGGGCTTTTAGCAAGTACATTACATGATCCTGAAGGTACAGGCTTTAGATGGATTTTATAATGGGTTCTTGAAAACTATAGTTTTTCCATTCCTTTCCAGTCCTTTCCATTACATACCATTTTACCTATTATATATGACCTTTTAAAAATTATTTTTAAATTTTTTATCATTAATCATTAGTCAAGGCCTGGATGATGATATTTGTTGATTTGTTGATTTTTCTCGAGTACTACTACATATGAATGCGAACGCAGCTGAAATGAAGTTGCCATGAAGGCTCCAACAAATATATATATACATATATAGATATATGAATGTTCATGGAAATGCAAGTATATTTATTTCATTTGTTACTACTTTCTAGAAGGATGTGTCTTTGCTACTAATTTTTTTTATTTTTATTTTTTTTTTATTTTGGTAGAATTATTTTGAAAACTATTTTGGAATTTAGTGTTTGTTGGTAAACTGTTACAGGCCGGTTGCAATTGTTTGTCCACCTATGTTTAACGACCTATGTAAATTACGTGGGAACTTATGTCATTGTGATAGGAAAATAATAATAATAAATAAAAAATAAAAAAATAAAAAATAACACGCTAGGAAGGATTCTCAGCATGTATGTGGGTGGTAAAAGTCTTGCTAAGTGATCACTTCTAAATGTTTCTTCTTTCCCAAAAAAATTCGAAGAAGTAAAGTGTGTTCAAATCTTTGAAACTCGAATCCATCCCACAGGTAATACTTCTATCGGAGCTTGATAGTTTTTACTTCTTGCATCCTCTCTTCAACCTCTTTCTTTTGTCACTTTAATTACGAGCCTGTTTAAATTGTTTTTCAACTTGTATTTATATTTTAGAAAATTCTTTTAGATGTGTTTGGTAATAATTAGAAGCACTTATAATTGTGTTTTATGTCGCCATGTGAGATACTTTATTTTTATTTTATGTTGATAAATTTTGATGTCAAGACTTGTCGATTGAGTTGCAATTTTTGGTTTAACTTGTGTGACTTGATTGTTGGGAAGCTGAATTGCAAGTATCTCAGTGTTGTTAAATTGGATGGAATATCACATGTATGTGAGTGACGACACTTTATATTTCAAGTTTGGTTGGTTAGGACTTAGGAAAACGAGTTTTTTTTTTTTTGAAAAAATTTAAAATATGGTATCATTAAGCTTCTTAATGCCGATGGTTTTCCTATCAACGATGGATCTCTAAGATGTGTAGTACCTTACCCGTCGCACTTTATTGGATGTAGATTGGCCGCACTTGTCAAAATTCTTGATTTTTGAAATATGGAAAAATTCGACCGGTTGCACTTTTTACAATCGGTCACACTTTCCTGCTATATATGAGATTTCCTGTTTTTGTACCTTTTTGGTTTCTTTTTGCACCAAACTCCTTGAGATGCCCTAGTACAATTTTGAAACATCTTTCTAATTAATTGAGGACTCTCTTGGCTATAAATCTCTCTCTAAACTTTAGCCCTATTATGCTTCAACTGGGGAAAATATAGAATTATATTTTACATCTGGAGCTTTTTGAGAGAGATTTTGAGAAAAATATGTTTTATCTTTTTGAGAGCACACACTAACACATCAGTGATTTAGGGTAATGTTTTTCTTCTGATCGAGAGGATTTTCAGAGTCAACATGAATTTACTCAATTCAATTAGAGCAGCAAAATTCTTTTATAATTATTCATATAATTGAAAAGAAGGTCACTTAGTCACTATGAAGGGAACATATCGTTTGCATATTTTGTTCGGGGCTTAAATAGACTCTGAATGCATTTTTATATTTAGTAATTTTTTTTTCATTAGATTTCTTATATATATATATATATATATTTTTTTTTTTGTAATTTTTTGAAGAAACTTTATTTTTAAGCTTATTTCTTAGTGTTTGTTTTCTTTCAAGATTAGGTTTACCTTATGTTATAAGTTTTCCTTGTACACTTAGTTTTTTTTATGATTTAGGGCTTTCTTTCATTATAAATAGATGTAATACAGAGATCAAAATCACCTATTTAACTATCAATACAATATGAGATTTGTTTGTGAATTTTTTTGATTTTAACTTTGTGAATTCAAAGTTCTTTATCGTATCAATAGGTGTGAGCAGCTCAGTGTTTGTAACTTGGCTTTGAGAGATAATGAACTAATTTCGCCATAGACAGCTGTATGTGGTTTTCTTCCAAAAAGCTTTTCAACACTAAAATCTTAGTGTCATCGCTCAAACTTTACTGAAGTGACAATTTATGCTCAAATCCTCCAACCCACCAGCTAATTAGTAACTTTTGGGTGAGTGATTTAAGTGATCAGGTCTGAGTCATAAAGTGGTCAATTGATAAGGAATGGTATAATAATTAGTGAGTGCTCACTTACAACCCACCTAAACATATATTAAGTCACCCAAACATAAACTTATAATTTTCTCTATGTAAAACTTTTGTTATATGTCCACAATTTTTAAATTCATCCCCCACACCCCTCTCTTTCTCTCTAAAACTTTCATCTCCGCTTTGTTTTCAATTTTATTTGTGTAGCTATCACAAATAAAATTCTATCACAAATAAAATTGTTTTTCTTTTTGGAATTTTATGGTTGGTTGCCATAGCGGGGTTTGCTCCTTGAGTGACCTTAAAAGCTACTCACTTTTCAGTACTTTAAGTCTTAAAAATTACACTGCTAAAACCTAATATTATTGCGGAAACACAAGCGATTTGGATGCTCTGATACCAGTTATTGTGGCGAAAATCTAAAAATAACGATGTTCAAGAAATGATCACAAGTAATCACGAAAAAAAAATAAATGACAGACAACAACACAAGATATACGTGGTTCACCAAAAATTTAGGACTACGTTCAACACCGAACAAATTCCACTATGAAAAAGATAAAAGATTAAAATGGAGAATTTCCTCTCAATCTCTCTCAACTAGTATGATGTCACTTAGTGGGATAATGAATGAAACGAGTGGAAGAAAAAGATTCACGGACCTCTACATAAAACATTTTCGGTCAGTTGAGTTGGTTTCTTTCTAGGAGCTTCTGAGTGATTATGAGCTCGATAAATATTCCAATCTATTTTCATTCTCACTTAAATTTTATTACATTTCTGCATACCAAACGCAACACTAGGATATAAATCTATATCTTCCTAGTTAGTTGGAGCTACAAAAAGTTCTCCTAAATTTGGATGGCACTCCCTGACACAGGCTTGTGCATGTCAAGGTCCCTTTCCAATTGTTTCATCGGTGTTATAGACATGTGCATGGATGAAACACTTACCGAATTCAATCAATAGTGTTGTGTCAATGAATTATTGGAAGTCTAAATCCCTAAAAAAGCCAATATATATTCTTTATATTATTTTTTTTCTTGTTCATCTTTCTTCATGTAGTATATGTTAGGCTCCTAGGAAAATGCAACAAAATAGAAGAAATTGAAATATTGATTTTTTAAAGATTTTTCATTGGTTGAAATTCTTGATCAGAGACTCTTTAGGACATGAAAAAAAGTTGTGAAATTTCTTAGTTGCCAACTTCTCTCCCATTTTATTTTGTTGTTTGCTTGTTTAGGCTTTAGAGGTTTTTGTTGATTTCGCCTCTTTTATGGTTAATAACTATTGTCCAAAATATGGTCTAAGTATACCAGATACTATAGTATTACTATTTAAATATTATGCAAAAATATAATTATATATAATGAAATAAATGTTGATAAAATATATGGTTCAAATAATATTTAAGATATAATTAATCATATGCTAATATGCCATAAGATATTTATAATATGCTAAAATAATTAATTAAATATTCAACTAGATATTTAATTAAATATGCAAATTAAAACAATAAAATAATTATAATAAATAAAGAACCTGGACCGAGGCTAGTATTGGATACTATGTCCTTAAGACAGATTTGCCCCGCTATGGTGCTAACGGACTCAGTGGCGTTTATCTCCCAGGATACAACAGTCTACATCCACCGGTAGCAGCACTACAAACTCGTGAATACGGCGAACCTTCTCTGTGTAATACTCTCTCTGACTCAAAAATGCATCTATACTATATAAATGCTGAATTGGATGCAATCCGAATCAAATGGTTCGGACCAATTTTAATATGGCTCGATGAAATTGGATTAGGGTCGAAGTGGTTCGGA